CATTTTTTATAAGCATTAATAAAACATAAAAAAAAATAAAATAAATAAAAACAATTTAAAATGAAATAAAAAAGAATTATAATAATACTAATAAAATAGATCAACCCACCTGGGCAACAGATCACAGCCCTGATTGAGTATGGAGCCCAGCACCAGCCACATGGTGTTGTGCAAATGCCAGATGTTTTCACGCTCCTGCTCACGCCGCTCATTTACCACAGGCGCCTCCCATTCGCAGGGATCCATGCGCCCGGCCAATATCAGGGCCATTGCCGTTACCAGCATGGCAACCATCACGTAGAGCCAAACGTCCACACCGTAGGGATTGAGAAAGCCATAAATATCGGCCTGGGCCGGAGGCTGCTTATAAGACAAAATGCTAATGCCCAGCTGCATAAATGGCACCGTAAAGTCCACCACCGTGCGACGGGCCTGAGTAATGGTCAAATCACAGATGCCAATCTGTGCATTCTGTGCGGATGCGAGAGTCGAGAGTGATTAGTGATTAGACATTGATTTAAATGTTAATGCTCATTCGAGTGCACACACTCACATTGTCAATTAGCTGCCTGATTATGCCATCCCATTCATCGGTGGCCGCATCGTAGCTGCCGTATTTGTTATCCCTCACCGGTTCGAAAACGAAATCAAATTTGCATTCCCTTGCCAGCTCGTAGATCAAGTCGACCGCATAGCCCTCGAAACGTTCATTGCCCTCGAAGTGCACGCCTTCCGGCTCCTTACTTTTGAGATGTGCACATTTATTTAATATTCAAATCTAATAATGAAGCCATACGAACCGCCAGCTGAAATAGGGCTTGCCCACTCGAGTGGCCACTGTATATACGACGGGCTTACGCGAGAAATCCTCTTTGTTCTCCAGACGTCGCTGTTTCATCGCTTGCGTGGAATTCTCTCGGATCGTCTCGTAATCGACCAGCTGAAAGTCTTTGTTCCAGATGTGCGTCACCCGATCAATGATCGGATTGTAGACCTCCAGGTTGAAGTCCTCGCGTTGCCCATCCGGTGTCAATTGCAATCGCTGGGTTTTATAGGGTGGCTTTACTTGCTTCGGTGTAAGCTACAAAATGGAGTTTTAGACATAGAAATAATATTAATAAAAAATATTTTT